TTTTTCAATTTCAACCAGAGAAAAGCAATAAATTCACCTTGTGTGAAAGTCAATTAACCTAACGAAATTTCCCGAAAGCAATATTATTGAGATTTAATTACTTACAACAACAACAACAACAACAAAAATTGAAAATCAAACCAACAATGAATGAATTGTTATGAAAGAAGAAGAAGACGAAAAAAAATTTATGAAAATATTCAAAATATTTTCATTCAATCTTGAACCATTATCATTATCATCATTAAATCATTCTGATGATCATGAATATATATATATATGGAGAAAGCCATTAACAAACAAAACAAAAAAGACCAGAAATTACCAGAGGTATATATGGAAATGAAATTTTTAGATTTGAAAAAAAAAAAATCTGATGATCAGATCAAACAACAATGATCGATGCTATTACGTTTTCGATGATGAATCCCAAAAAAATGAATGAATGAATGAACGATACCCTCTCGTTATGTGGAAACAAATAATAAAAAAGAAAAAATATTGCAGATTCAAATGATGAAAATAAATAAAAAAAAAAAATAAAGTGCTACCATTAAATAGTGATATTGTTCAAGAAGAAAAAGAAGGAGAAAAAGATTTATTTTCATTGAAATAAATTGCAATGAAATCGTTATTAACGTTCATGACATTATTATTATCACCATCATCATCATCATCATTATCACCGTAGTAAACACACTAAGAAGATGAACCATTAAGTGTTGGATCTGTTTTTATTTTATTCATATATACACATTTTCACGTTTTTTGAATATTCACTAACATTCCAATACAGATCCAACGCCCAATGCATACGTATATTCATTGAAAATAAAAAGAAAAAGGGTTTTCCAATGGGAAATGTCGATGTCGATGTTGAAAAATTCAAACATTTCCAAACGGCAAGTGAATTATTCACTAGAAAAATTGAAAGTGAAGAGAGAAAGCATCTCAATAGATCTATCTTATTATATATTATCATTTAATGTATTATTTATAAATTATCGACATAAAATAAAATTTCAAGGGAATTTTCTCTCTTATTCTCTGTTTTGTGTTCAAAGTTTAAGATGTTACAACGTGTGTAAAAAAACGTATAAAAAATTTATTAGATTTACGGCCGGATATATAATGTGTGTGTGTGTGTGTGTGTATGATGATAAACTTTATGATGCAAAACGGCAATTCATCGACACACACACAGACACACAATATAATATCAATTGATCCACGATGGATGATCAAATGATTTTTTTATTTCAGAAAAAAAAATTTCCCAAAACACATCTAGCGAGAGGAAATTGTTATTTATTACGAAAAGTTTTTTAAAATCGATTAATTCCATATATATTAAAAAAAAAGAAAAATTCAAAATCACACAACACTTCTTACCAGCCATCTAGTGGCAAAGATTAAAACAAAATTTTATTTTTTCGAAAAAAATTTTTTTTTCGACATTTTTTTTTAAGTCGTCCCTCAATCGTTTGAAGCCAACCGATCAACAAATTATCATCAACGAATGATAAATAAATCATAAATCATATATTTATCATGGGTTTATTTGCGGTTCGCCATAGCTCCATCAACAACAACAACAAAAATCGGAACAACACAAAAAATAATATTATCACTATTTGTGTGTGTAATTGGATAAAAGAAAAAGAAAAAAACCAACGATAACAAGCACAAAATAATACCATGGGAATCATCATCATTATCATTTGTTTATTATTTTGATTTTAGATAATGATGATGATGATGATGATGGTGAAAATTCAATCAGATTGTTGTAATATTTTAAATATAAACCTCATGGCCAATGCTAATATCATCAACATCGACATCGACATCGACATCGATTAGGATTTTTTTTTTTGTGTGTGTGTGTGTGGTTAGTTTTTACGATTTAGAAATTAGATCAAGACAACGGAAATAGGGTTTGATGACTGGTTAAACGCACTTTTTTTTAATCAATGAAAGAGAAAAAAAATATTAGCAACAATAAATCTGATCTCATCTTCTAATCATTAATTATCAAACGAAAATTGATATATATAAATATAGTGATTAATCATGATCAATCACTAATGGGTAAACAACAACAACAACAACGACGGCAATTTTTTTTTTGCCTATTGATTTTTAATTAAAAAAAAAATCATGAAAAATAAAAACCGGAAATTAAATTAATTTATTCATATTTAAATTTTCTCCTTTTTCATTTTCAATTCTCTCTTTTTCTCTACATTTACATTGAAATCCAAAAAAATAATTAATCACAATCAATCGATTCAATCGATCGATCGATTGATATCTGTAATATTCTGTTGTTAAAAAAAAAAAAAATTAATGATCTTTGTCTGTTTTTTTTTTCATAATGAATGTAAAATGAATAAACAAAATGATGATCACCATCAGCATCATTATGACATCAAACATGATAATAGATCAACTATAGTGTAGTAGCATCCATTCATCCATCCATATGAATGTTATAAACACAAAACAATTTATAAACAGGAAACACCTCCGGAACACACATGTGATTTCATAATCATCATCATCAAACAATCAAACAATCAAAGTTTTAGCTTCCAATTTCATTCATTAAAATTGATGATGATGATGATGATGATTTTTTATTTCATTTCGAGGTTTGTGTGTGTGTGTGTGTGTGTGTGTGTGTAAATCGAATTGAATTGAATTTAATGAATGAATAAAATTTGTATGCATACAAATTTACATTTACAACTACACTACATGTACAACAACCATCAGCACCACCACCACCACCACCACCACCATCATCGTCATCGTCATCATCATTATCGTATACGTAATGAATGATGTTTTTTTTCCATTCATTCAGAATTTTTTTTTTTGGTTTTGTTTTGTTTCGTTTTCGAAAACATCAATCGATGATGTTTTGTGACTAATGAACCGATCGTTTAAAGAAATCTAAATTAGATGAAACACACACACACACACACACAAAATGATTGGGCCAAACAAATTCAGGTCATATCATCATAATCCATTATAGTAGAACCCAAACTAAGACGGTGGCCACCATCGATGATGATCCAATCTGTTTGTCATGATCGAATGAAACAAAACAAAAAAAAAAAAAAAATCAAATATGAATCAGAATCCGGAATCAATTTTTTTTTCACTCATCGATCAAAATGAATAATAATAATAATAAAAAAATCTGCCAATTTTTTTTTTGTTTTCCAAAAATGATCGTTGGCGCCAGTTTTCTGGTTTCTGACTTACTAAACATCATCATCATCATCATCATCATTTTTGTTTATATTTTGGATTCAACATCATCATCATCATCATCATCATGATCATCGTCAGTAAAAAAAACATATATACAAATACAAATCATTTAATGTAATTAAGTTAACTTAATATTACTCGGAGAGAGAGAGAGAGAAAAAAAACATTAAATCTTCCATTCAACCAGAAAACTTTAAAAACAAAAACATTAAAAACATTTTCAATTCTCGTGCATCTTGTTTGCATATATTCTCATCAATAGCGTCATCATCATCATCATCATCATCCATACAAACATACACCGTATGTTTTTGTAACGTCCGTTGTGATCATCATCATCATCATCATCATAATCGTTATACAACAACAACAACAGCCAAAAAAAAACCAATATATCCAAAGCTCACACATTCGTACTTTGATTTTTTTTTGTGTGTGTGTGTGTGTGTGTACAAAGAGAGACACAACATTGGCCGTAGAAAAAATAAAAACGTTTTTCTCTCTCTCTCTCTCTCTCTCTCTCTCTCTCTCTCTCTCTCTCTCTCTCTCTCTCTCTCTCTCTCTCTCTCTCTCTCTCTCTCTCTCTCTCTCTCTCTCTCTCTCTCTCTCTCTCTCTCTCTCTCTCTCTCTCTCTCTCTCTCTCTCTCTCTCTCTCTCTCTCTCTCTCTCTCTCTCTCTCTCTTTGATTTTTTCATTTGCACAACAGATTCAAAGCATTTGCCAAAAAAAAAAAAAAAAATTTTGCTCATTGCTTTTGCGTGTGTATATTGTATGTATGTATTACACTGTGTGTGTGTGTGTGTGTGTTTTTTCAGTTTTGATTTTGATGATGATTCCATTCACTAAAAGTTTTTTTATTATTATTAATAAATTTTCAACAACAACAACAACAATAACCAAGTTTTTGAGAATTGTTGAATCTTTCGATTCTCTCTCTCTCTCTGTGTGTGTGTGTGTTTGACTTTAGTTTTCTCACTGTTGCGCCTTTTTTTTCATCGATTATTATCATCATCATCATTTTATTATTATTATTCAACGATCATCATCATCATCATCAAATTTATATTGTTGCTGTGTTCATCTATCATTATCATCTATTGTAGTAGCAGCCAAATCATTTTCAAACCATCAATATATATATATAAATTATAACCAAATAATCATCGACAATTAAATTTTTTTACCAATTAAAGGTGTACTTTTTTTTATTATTATCATCAAAAAAACAACATACATACATACACATCACAGAGTGAAAAATTTAATGAATGACATTCTCTCCCTGTGTGTGTGTGTGTGTGTGTGTTTGGTGTTTGACGATCATTGTTGAAAATAAAAGTTCAAAGCCAAAAGAAAAAAAAAGTAAACAACAACAAGTGAATTTTGGTTTCTCCAATTGATGTTTTTTGGTTTGTTTGTTATTCAAGAAGAAAAAAATATGAAAATTATCATCATCATCATCATCTGATAATTGATAAATTTCATATTTAAAAGAAATGTTTACAAATCATCACGATAATGATGATCATGATGATAATATAAAGATTTCATGTGGTCATTGCTATTGGCAATCATCATCATCAATAACAAGTGATTAAACACGAAATGATGAAATTTCGTTTGATCATAACCAGCATCATTATCGGCCAATTTTTTTTTTGTTGAAATGATTTTGTTTCATTCCTAAGAAATTATCATTTTTTTCTGGTTTCTTTTTTTTTGTCCACACGTTTTTTTTTCTTTTGTTTTTTGTTTTGTTTTTTTTTTTTGTCAATGAAAAAAAAGACTGCCGTCCGTGTGCTGCCACATATTGCATTTTTTGTTCACTTTTTTTTTGTTGGTCCCAATTAAACAAAAAACAATTTTTCCCTCTCAAAAAAAAAAAAAATTAACAATAAATTATTGAAGAAATAAAGAAAAAAAAATGAGATGACATGGACCAAAGTTTTATTACAACCAAAACAGACCAACAAGATTGTTGCCTGTCAATGAATGTCCGTTTTGTTCAACAAGTTAAAATTCGTATTGGTAAGTTTTTCATTTTTAAAAACAAAAATTTAATGTTTCCATTCATTAAAAAAAAAATTAGGAGAAGCAAAAAATCTTCAACCAAAAAATGGCACCAACAGTCTTAAAGATTGTTATTGTGTCATCAGTTTGGATCGTGAGGAAATATTTCGTACACATAATTCTATCGATAAAACATTAGAGTAAGTTACATTTGTTTACACTATTTCATTTCATTTAATTCCATTTCATTTTTTTAAAGTCCATTTTTCGGTGAAGAATTTCATTTCGACATACCACGAATGTTTCGTTATCTATCCATTTATGTTTATGAACGTGAAAGATCCGTACAAAATTGTCGTAATCGTGCCATTGGTAAAGTTACTATCCGACGTGATCATTTGAAAAATTTTGATTCCGAAGAATCATGGTTCCCATTAGTACCTGTTAATCATCCACCCGAAGCACAAGGTGTTATTCATCTACAAATTGAACCACATTATATAATGAATATTAATTCATTACGAATAATAATAACCGTATTTGAATGTCAAGATATTACCGATGATTATTGTGATTCATATTGTTTATTAAATCTACGTATATTTGACGAAACATTTGTAAAAAAATCAAAAATCAAACGAAAAACCACAAATCCTCAATATAATGAACCGTTTTCATTTGAAGTAAGTTTCAAATCAAATAAAAAAAAAACTTAATAAAATCAAATCATTTCTCATCAAACATCGAATCCTAGATCCCATTGGATAAATATTCAAATATCACTTCAAATAGTCAACTTTTACTGGACGATTTGCTCAACAAGTCACATTTAAGGTAAAGTAAAGAGAAAAAAAAATCATCTGTTTTTTTTCACATGATTAACAATTGTATACAATTGTTTGTTTGTTTGTGTGTTTTCAACAAACATCAAATTATTATATAGGATTTCTGTACATGAACAATGTTCAAAAACGAACAATAATTATCTTGGTGGCATTAGAATTCCTTTGAATCGACTACAAATCAATAGTACGCACAATGCATGGTATGTTTTTTTTTCGTTTTTCGAATCTTTAAATTATCATCATTATCATTTTTTTGTTGTTGTTGTTTATCGTTTTAGGTATTATCTTCAGCCACAATTATCATCAACATCATTGTCATCATCATCATCTGTATCATCATCAACGAATAATAATAATAATCGTCATCAAAATTGTGATTTCAATCTTGGATCATTACGTTTAAGGATAAATTATATATCTGACTATGTTTTTCCTAGTCCATTTTATGATTCGTTACGTAATTTGTTATTATCATCAACGGAAACAAAGGTTTGTTTTTTTTCACATTGTTCATCCAAAAAAAAACCATCTGGAAAATTTCCACAATCATTTAGACAATTTTGTTTGCAGTAAAGATGATGATGAATGATGATGATGAGAAATTTCCAGAAATAATGTATACATACATATACACATTCGTTTAATTTTCAAATTTTTTTGACCTAAATTTTTTTGTTTTGTTTTTAATCTCCCCCACTAATAATAATCATTAGCCAATTACATCCAGTGTTGCCTATTTGTTGGGTGAATTTGTACTGAACAAAGCCGATGCAGCTCAACCATTGGTGAAAATATTTTTACATTATAAAAAAATCGTCACATTAATCAAATATTTGGCCGAAGATGAAATCTCTAAAGTTAGGTAATTGAAAATAATGAGTGTGTCGGTGTGTGCGCGTGTGATAAAGTTTTATTATGAAAGCAAGAAAAAAAAACATTTATTTTTCCGGTCCACTCGAACACTTTGTGTGTGTGTATGTGTGTATTGAACACGATTTTAATCAATTTTAATTAGAGTTAATTCATTAATCGTTAAACGATAAATTTTTTGCTTGATTTCATTATTTTTATCGGTTTTTTTTTCTTCCTTTCTTTATCTTTTTTTGTCTTGTTTTGTTTTGTTTTTTTTGTTCATGTTCCATAGCGATGTCAATACAATTTTTCGTGGAAATAGTCTCGTATCGAAATGTATTGATGAACTAATGAAATTGGTTGGCATACGATATCTACATGAAACATTATGCGATTGTGTTGACATTGTTATACAGGAGAATAAAATCTGAAATCTCTAAAGTTAGGTAATTGAAAATAATGAATAAAGTTTTGACATTTATTTTTCCGGTCCACTCGAACACTTTGTGTGTGTGTGTGTGTATGTGTGTATTGAACACGATTTTAATCAATTTTAATTAGAGTTAATTCATTAATCGTTAAACGATAAATTTTTTTTTTTGCTTGATTTCATTATTTTTATCGGTTTTTTTTCTTCCTTTCTTTATCTTTTTTTGTCTTGTTTTGTTTTGTTTTTTGTTCATGTTCCATAGCGATGTCAATACAATTTTTCGTGGAAATAGTCTCGTATTGATACTAATGAAATACGATATCTACATGAAACATTACGCGATTGTGTTGACATTGTTATACAGGAGAATAAAATCTGTGAAATTGATCCGACAAAAATTCGTGATAATGAATTTTTAATGATAAATATGCAACATTTAAAAAATTATACTGACCTATTTTTCAATGCAATCATTGAATCAATGACCAGATGTCCACAAGTTATGTGCGATATATTCGCTGTGCTCAAAGAATTGGCAATCAAATTTTTTCCAGATAATAAAGATGTCTGTTATTATGTGATATCGGGTTTTGTATTTTTACGTTTTTTTGCACCATCAATACTTAATCCACGATTATTTGAATTGACTGATAAAAAGATTGTAAGTATTTATTTTTCAATAATCGATTAATTGATATTTATTATCGATTTTTTTTTAGAATTTACAAGTAAACAGAACGTTTACTTTGATATCGAAAACCATTCAAAGTATTGGAAATTTGGTTGTATCGAAAAAGGTTGTAATTGATTGTGTTTATAAATTGTAAAATTGAATGAAAAAACTAAATTTCACAATTATTATTATTATAATAGAATACACCATTGATAAAGGAAAATTATATGATGTCGTTCTATAAGGAATTTATAACCGATATTCATGTTTCCAAAACTAAAGAGGTAATGAATGAATGATTGTCTAGAATTTGAAATTGAAATTTTTTTTTTTTTTTCTCTCTCTCTAGTTTCTAGAATTAATATCATCATCATGTCGTTTATCCACCAAAGATTTTCATGAACCAGTGATTCTAAAGGAAAGGTATGATTTATTGCACTTAATTTTTTTTTGTAATATTCATTCGTTTTATCATTTCCCTCTGATTATATTTTTATTATAGTATTATGTTCAAAAAATCCAACAATGGTTATAAACGTATCGGATTCGGTACAAGTTATAAGAAACGTTATTTCTGTATAACCACACAACATTTTTTCTATGCAAAAGCAAAAAATAAATCACCATTATTTAAATTTCCAATCAGTGAAATAACTGTGAAAAAAATTGGCCGATAATTATCCAATGAAAAATGTATGTGGATCATTAATCAATTGATTTTTTATTTTTTTTAATTAAAATTTCATTCCAACACCGATATATAGATGTTTCAAGTGATCCATAATAAATGTACATTAAACATACAGGCCAGTAATTGTGTACAGGAACGTGAATGGCTTGATACATTGAATCGATTAATACAATTGAATCAATCATCATTAAATTTGAATAAAATTCAATCATTTAATAATATGGACACAACCACTACCAATACCACGGCGACAGCAACCGCCACCAATAATAATAATAATAATAATAATTCAGCTACAACAGCAATCAACAACAATTTAACTAAACAAAATCATACATCATCATATTCACAACAGCAAACATTATCATTTGATCTTAGTATACGATTAGATCCTGATCGTGAATTAGCAAGAATATATTCATTATTCATATCAAATATAGAATCGATTCGAACGATTCTTGGTGTATCAATGATGACCATTAATGATCCATGTAATCATCATGATCACCATAATGATGACAACGATGACGATGGTGATGATGATGATGATAATCATAACCACAATCATCATCATCGTAATTGTCATTCAAATATTGTCAAATTTTGGAAAGGAAATTGTCACAATTATCCACCATCACAATTCATTATTGAAGATCGAACATCATTGATGGCCACATTGAATATATTACAAGAATGTATTGGTAATATTGAACAGATGCATAAACAATATTTAACAAGCATAATGGGTTCAGAGATTGCACCAATTGAAAATGTTGGATAAAATTTTATCGAAAGGAAAAATTATTATTTATTCATATATCGACGATTCGAAATTTTTTTTTTTTTTTTTTTTTGAATGCTGTGCTTTATCGTTTGCTCACATAAACAACACACAGGAAAAAAAATCTGTTAACTGATCTCTCTATATATATATTGAGCTTGATATGATCTCTTGTTTATAAAACAACAACAACAACAACAACAACAGCGAAAAAAAAAGAAATGATTCATCACGTGGATTGTAAATATTTTTTTTTTTCTTTTCTTCATAATAAAATAATCTGTTCATTGAAACTGTGATTTTTTTTTGTTCTCATAAATTTTGTAAATCATCGATGATCATCAATATATTCATTTTTATTTCTCAGATTTTACAAACACACACACACACACCATACATATGATATAAAATTATTTGACAAAAAAAAATTTGTATTTTTCTTTTTGGATTGAGATTCTTATTATAAAAATTTTTCAAATTTTCCACGCGAAAATTTTGTTCCAAATGTATTCGATGCTTCGGTGATTAATGTTTTTTTTCGTTTTGAATCCATTTGTGGTGCACAAAGATCTTTTTCACGATCAAATTCACGTCGTTCAGCTTGTGATGATGTGGTGGTGGTGGTTTTTGATTTCTATATTTTTTAAGAACAAAAAAACGATATGATTTTGAATTTTTGAAACCTGATTAAAAACAACTTACCTTGTTTTTTCGTAAATCTTGTCGATGTATTTCCATTAATGATTGTTCACGTTTATTGGTTTTATCATATTTTTCAAGAAATTCTTCCATTTTTTTATCTTTTTGTGCTTTTGCATGAATTTCCATTTTTTCATCTTCGGTTAAACGTTTATCTTTAGGCGTTTTCTGGCTAAATTTCGTTATCGATTTAGTGGGCACTTGAAATGCTCGACCAAGTGATTTACCTGGTTCAAGCATCCATTTTTCTCTTTTCGGTCCATCCGTTTCATTTCGAATTGATCGATTTTGATTATGAATATGATTCAAATCGATTTCGCCCGGAGGTAATGGTCCTATAATGAAATCGTCATCATCAACATCAGCATTATTATTATTATTATGTTCATTCAGTTGTTTAGATGAATTAAAATTGATTGGTAAGCTTGGTCCAATTACGGGTCCAATAACTGATGATGATGATGATGATGATGATGATGGCAAAATTGGACCATAAACCTCATCATCATTTTCGTCGTCGTCTTCGTTATTAATATTCGATTTTGATTTTTCATCATTTTTTGATTTCAAAAAATTCGCTGGCAATACAGGACCATAAACATTATTATTATCATCATCATCGGAATCTTTTTGTTTTGACATGATTGACGGCAATTCTTTTATTATTAATTTTCAAAGAATTTTCATTTCAATATGCTTATTATGATATTCGGTCATTACTTCTATGAACGTGACACATTATACACAAAACAGTGCACACATGTGAGCTGAAAGAATTTATTTTCAAAACATTTTTTTCATTTTAAAGTTTTGTATTTGTTTTCTCGTTAAAATTTCGAATATATAAACAACAACAAAAAAAAAAACAATCATCAGATATTATTATTATGGCAAAAACGAAAAACAAGAAGAATAATTCGAAACCATTTCGACGAAATTTAGTACTGGACAAACCGATCAGAACGAATTGGAAGAAAAAAATGCAATTGAAACATGAAAATACACAGATTAAAGCATTGGAAGCTGAATTAAAAGCCGAAAAACGTACATTAATCGAAGAAAAACGACAACGACGTGTAGAGAATCAAAAACGTCGTGAAGAGAATGCAAAAAAAGCCGAAATTGTACAAACAATAAGAAATAAGAATAAGCTAAAAAAATTAAAAGGATCAAGAAAAATACGAAAAGTTTAAATTATAATTTCTCTAACTTTTTTTTTATTGTTTTCATAATAAAAATCCTGTCATTGTGTTTTTTTTTTTAATTTCAATTATCAAATTCTGTTGTTTTGATTTTTGGAATTTTTTTTTCTGTTCATCAAATTTAAATTCCACATAACCCAACCTAACCACATAAGAATTTATCGATTGATTGATCAATCAATCAGGAAATCAAATTACGATTGATTTATTTATTATTGAATTTAATTTTTTTTTATGGAACAATAAATAAATAAAAAAAAAATTAACGGAAACGCTTATCACATTGCAAACAATTTTTAATATATCTGCGCACACGCATTTCCTGTTTTGTTTTTTTTTTGTTATATTTTCATTTTCATTTTCATAATTATTATTATCATTCGATATTGGATTTATTCCACCGTGATATATGATGATAGTGTTTTGTGTTAATGATGATGATGATGGTGGTGGTGGTGGTGGTGGTGGCGGTGACAACAACAACAAAATTTCACCAACAAAATAACTTTTTATGGTTCTCTCTTTTTTTTTGCCTGTTTGATTATTTGGATCATGATCATGATCATCATCATCATCATCATTAGTGGATATTATAGCACCAGTTGGTAGCCATTACAAGTAAGTATAGACCATATGATGATGAACCAAAAAAAAAAAACAAATGATCGTGATCCATTCGTTGACAACAATAACAAAAATGAAAACAACAATGAAATGATCATCATCATCATCATGAAATGCTTCTACCAATGTATATGTTCTACCTTTATCAATTTTTTTTTATATTTTCCAATATTTCTGGTATCCTGGTAGATCGTCGTATATCGTCGTTATGTGTGTGTGTGTGTGTGTTTCTGGCTGGCTAGGGCCTCCTGTTTTTTTTTATTATTTAGTTTGGTTTCTCTCTTTATCTCCTACTTTACGTTTGGTTGGCGCCATTTGAATTGTGTGCATGTGCATCAAAAATAGAAATAGAAATTTTTTCTTCTGGTTCACCGTTTTCAAAATATACGTATGTGAGTGTGTTTTTATACGACGACGACGAACGAACGACCACGACCAATCGACGGTAGTGTGTGTTCCATTTTAATGTTGTTGTTGTTGTTGTTGTTGTTGTGTCGGCCAAATTGATGGCCAAATTTTTTTTCTGATTCTAACGTTGTCAAGATTTTTTCTTTAGTGTGCGTGCGATTTAGTCGGTTAGTTTGTGTGTATGTGTGTGTGTGTTTGTATGGTATGTATGTATTTGTTTTTCGTCGACGACGGTATTTCCAATTGGCACCGAATCCAAATATTTATAACGCAAAATAAAATCCACCGAGAATCTATACTATATATTCTCTCTCTCTCTCTCTCTCTCTCTCTACTTTATGGGCAAGCAATGATGACGCGATTCTTCAATTCACATGTGTGTATGTATGTATGAATGTTTGTGTGTGTTTGTCGATGGCAAACATTTGTTCCATTCTCTCGAATTCGAAATACACTCATCATCATCATCATCATCATCTTGAATCAGATAGAATCAAGAATTGAAATTTGTTTTTTTTTTCGTTTTGATTTTAAAATTCTTATTTGTTTTGTTTTTTTCGATGACTGCTCGAATTCTTTTTTTTCCTGTTTTGTTTTTATTTTTGTTTTTGTTGAGAGCCGTTATCTTTTGTTTGATCAAACATCGTGAATCTAATATCTTTTTTTTTTGATCTTATTATCGGATTCTTTTGTTTTTTTGTTTCCAGAAAAATTTCAAGTGAATCTTGTCATTTTCATTTCATTTCATTTTCATTTCAATTTGGTCTGTGTTATTTCTACATCCATCCTAAAACACCTAACACCACCTACACCAATAATCATAATATAGTTTTTTACCGGAAAAACTTTCTGGTTTATTTTCTTTGGTATATGAGTTTTTTTTTCTCCATTTTTCTTCATCTTTATTTATTATTATTATTTGTTCCATTTTTTTTGAACAAATACTCTATTGCTACTACCTGTGTGTCTGTGTACATTTGGTATCCATCATCACACACACACAAAAAAAAAACATTCGAATTCAAATGTCTGTGTGTGTGTGCAATACCATTTTTTGTTTTTGTTGTTGTTGTTTTTATTTTTGTTTCCATCAATCCAGAAACCAACAAATGAACCGAAAACCAATATTTCATCAATTTTTTTTGCGACGCATTTATTATTGATCTCCAACCACACACACAATGAATGAATGAATGAATTTTTTTGTTGTTGTTGTTGTTGTCAACTTTTTTTAAGCATTGAAAGTATCAATGATAGACATATAAATATAGCGGCAGTCTCGTCTCATATTGTTTCATCCGATTTGAAAAAAATCGATATTTTTTTCCAATTTTAAAAATTATCTGACATTAAACTGAATGGAAGAATGTTTTTCAATTTCATTTTGAGGAAATTTTTTTTTTTTTTTTTTTGGTGATTGATTGATTGATTGATTGATAACAACAAAACACCACCTGGAAACATCAACCAAATATTATATATTTTATATGTGTAAACATTTGAATAATTTATCCTCACACGAAAAACATATATATTCATTTAAACGAACGAACGAACAACAACATTCGATTCTTGTTTGACTTCTGTGTTTTCTTCCTCATTTTGAAATCTAATTTTATCGTACGATTATTCATGATTATGGTGATATAATCGTAATAATGTCATCGTAAGAAAATATCCATCTTATTATTCTTATGGTAAGTTTTTTTTGACAAATTTTTTTCTCTTTAATATTATTCAAATATACAATACAAGTATTACATTATTTCATTGTTTTGAAATATTTATGTCAATGTTTTTTGTTTTTTGTTTTGTCTGTCATGAATGACCAAAATATACACAGAACATACAACAAAAAAGATTCCCTATAGAATAGAAAACACAACAGTAGAACATTATTTGATCAATGATTTCTTTGCTCAAACATCATCATCATCATCATCATTTATTACCTCGAAAAAAGAAAGCAGTAAAAAATAAATAAATATTCTGCAAAGATAATGTATACTTACATAGTAGTAGTCTGGTGAGATTAATAAAACATTATATGGACATTATTATATTTTGGGTGGTTTAAATATATCTCTGTTCCAAGCAAACAAAACACATTCGAAATAAAAAAAAAAAAAAGATTTGAGAAAAAAAATGACAAATTATAGCCCCCTTTTTTGTTTGTTTTTGTGCCTATGTTGTATTATATAAGGTGACTATAGTTTAATATATTCTTATTATGTTTGATTGGAATCCTGTTTTTTTTTTTTTGTTTTGTTTTGTTTGGCTTCATCATCATCATTAGTCATTGTATGTGAATGATGAAAAAAAAATTGAACCCAATTTCCATGAACATTCATTCATTCTTTTTCATTATAATGAATCGTTCATAAGAATTTCAAGGACAAAACTCATAACAATAAAAATAATTTTTTTTCATTTTTCCACTGTTTCATCGTTGTTGTTGTTGTTGTTTGTCATCTGATTGATTCGTTTTTCTTTTCAATTCAAATTCTTTGTCTTTTTGTTTGAAATTTTTTTTTCCATATTCACTATGGTTATTTGAATCATTATATTCCCACCTCTACCATCCACGCAAACAACAAACGCACACACACACACACACATCCGTTTCATTTTCAGAATTATCAAATTTACAGAATCTCAATCTAATGACAATTACAATTTTTTTTGGTGGGGTTTATGTATGCAATAGAATCATACTAATTGTAAATGTTTCTCCTCCCTTTTTTTTTGGACGTCATTTCATTTTAATTATGATATATAATTATTATATTGTACTTCTTGTGACAATTTTACAATGAATACAATAATTGAATTGAAAAACTCAAGATGAAATTTTTTTTTCTTCATTCTTTCTATTATATTCAAGTGGTTTTTTTTCGGATTGAAAATTTTCAAATCTTGAATGTGTCAACAGCCTTTTATGCCTTTTCAATGGGATGCTGTTGCTCAATATAAAATGAATGTCACACTGTCTTGTTCAGACATCCATCATCATCATCATCATCATCATCATACATAATTATTATGATTTGAACCAGGATTGATAAGATAATTAGCATTGCAGATTATTTTTCTTTTCGGTTGATAGAATATTCCATCAAAATATGACAATGATTATGATGGTGATGACGCCAATGTCGATAATAAATGATGAGTAAAATAGAGAAACAAAAAATTCTCCTATCTTTCTGGACCACTTGAACAAAAAAAAAATTCTGGCTTTTCTTTTTCTGATAAAGATGATGATGATGATGTTTATTTAAATGCAAATTCATTCGATTTTTTTCTTCTTCCACTTTTTTTTCAAACGTTTTTAACGAAAACAATTTACGCTCAATTTATTCATTTTATTATTTTTTTTTCTTTTTGTTTCATCATTTTGATTATAATTCTATTCGTCTGAAAATAATAATATTGGCACAGAATTTCTTGCTTATCGTGTTTTGTTTTGTTTTGTTTTTGGCGCCCATTTTTTTTCCTTCCGTTTATTATTATTTTATGTATTTAAAGCAAACAAAATGAATGAATGAATTTGATATATGACGAAATGCTATGATGTATGGGGAATGGAAAAAAAATCAAATCTCATCTCATTTTTTTTAGTTTAATTTGCTTGAAGCAATAATAGAAATTATGAATTCTTGAATCTCTTGAACTTGGTAGTTATTAGTTATCAATTGATATCTGAAGTTATATATATATATGGTCGCATAATTTCAAATCTAATTCTATGATGTTGAAGATTCCTAATTTTTTTTTTTTTGCTTTTGGTTTGTCTTTTTTTTCATTTTATTTGATGCTTATATAATCGATCGCCTTTGGGCCAATTTTGTCTGTCGTTTTATGATCATCCACGATATATTATTATTACCTTCCACACTTGATAGTGATCGTCATTGAATTGGTGGAAAAAAAGGCAATTTTAAAATTTCTTTTTTCTACTTATGTATGTCAATCTCTACTTTTTTTCCACCATCTTAATTCTCTTCAATTCATGTTGAATTTGGGATTGAAAATTTAATTTTTATTCAATTTTGGTCATGTTTTTTTTTTGCTTTTCGATGATATCATTCTTCGAAAAAAAACATATAATCAATGCATAAAAAGTGTCACTACTATCAACGCAAACGACACACACAATGGCAGGAAGTCTCACAGGAAATCAAAACACAACACGACAATGATTATTTAAGAATGAAAATGTTGTCAAAAAAAAAGGTGAAAAAAAAGAATAAGAACAAATTTGATGTGATTTTCATGTAAAATGTCAAATTATTCCACATCATTATATGTATATAGAAAACAACATATATCGTTCATGTGACACAATAATGATAATACCATTGAAGTGATTGAATGAAGAACAACAACACTTTACATTTAATTGATTCAATAATACAATTTATAATAAAATCCATTCGATGAATCCGTTTGACGTTTTCGGATCCAAACCAATCCAATCCAATCCAATCAATTCAATTCAATATATGTGTATGTGTGTAAATTGAAAGAAATTATTCTTGGATTTAATTTCCTGAATCATGTTGTCGTCGATGATGTCTTTTGATGCCTTTATATATAATTGTCATGATTTGCTAAAAATATATCCGTTCCATCATTGTCACGTTGTATTTTTTTTCCTTCGTTCATCTTCAATGGGTTTGTGTGTGTGTGTGTGTGTGTGTATTTTCGTTTTACCAAATAAAAATTGAACTAAACATAGAAATAATCAGAATTTGATCTTACTCCCTCTTGGCCACACTACGCACACACACACACAAACAATAGTTGTTGTTTTTTTTCTTTCAAAAAAAATTGTCATGTTTTTTTCTCGCTATATTGAATTATCGTTTTTGTGTGTGTGTGTGTGTGTGGGCAAATTGTCTGTTTATAATCATATTTCTATATTATTATTATTCGAGTTTTATTTTCTGGTTCGCTGATTGATTTTGTTTGTTGTCATCATCATCATCATCATCGTCGTCATAGTTGTTGTTGTGATTTTAATTCCATCGTTTTTGTTTGCATCATCATCATTGTAGTTGTTGTTGTTGTTGTTGTTGTTGTTGAAAACAAAATTTCATGATAATTTTGTTTTGATTTGCTTCGTGACAGAATGTCGAATTCAATTAGACCAGATATAACAACAAATAAGAAAAAAAGACCTTTAGTTTGAAATCTATATCTCTATATATGAATGGATGAAATTTTTCTCTTTTTAATTTATTATTAGTGAAAAAAAAATAATAATCGCAAGTTTTAACAACATCATTGATGACTTTGGCATCATCATCATTATCATTAAATTCTGCTGTTATTCTTGTGTTACTTACATTCTTTAGTTATTTTTCATGTTTTATTTCTTGTAATCAAGAATCGGAATTTTTTTCCCAATAATAATAATAATCATAAATATAAAAACAGCAATAGTAATTAGTCAGTCTTACATATACAAAATGATGATGACGACAAGTTTTTTTTATGGACTATAATACAGTTGTGTTTTGTATAATGAGAATATTAATAATGACGATGATGATGATGATGACAAACAACAACGACAATGGCGGCAATTCATTCAAGAATCGATTCCAATGAAAAAAAAAAACAAGATTTTCTTCATTTGGATTCAATAACAATAAATTCCATAAAAATAAATAAATGATGGATTCGCCAAATTTTTTTCTCTCCTTTGTTAGGTTTTATTTTTATTTTTTTTAATTGAATTTCTTATCCATTCGATTTTTTCTTCTCAATGTGTGAAAGGATCGTTTTCGATTTTTTCAATTGCTCTCTCGAACCTCTTTTTTTTCTTTGAACCTCACAAACAATAGTGGTGGTGGTGGTGGTGGTGATGATGATGATGATGATGGTGATGAGAAAATGAATGAAAAGAAAGAAAGAAAGAAAATTTTGTCTGAATTTCAAACTTTTCTCTTCAAAATTCTTTTTGTGTGTGTGTGTGTGTGTATGTGTGTGCCTTGTTCTCTGGTAGCTTGGCTGCTGTTTATTTTCATTATTATTATTGGTTTGGCCTGGTGGTGGTGTAAATGGAATCAAATTATTCCTGTTCCATATTGGTGACTTACACATTTTTACCCCAGTAGTATATTCGATATAATTTTCTTATTTTTTCACTTTAATTCTGACTTTTATTTCTGTTGTTTTCGTTGTTTTTTTCTGTTGTTGTTGTTGCTGTTGAATGAATGAATGAATGAATGAGAAAAAAATTTGAAAAATGATGAATTTGGAATTCTTTTTATTTTTTTCCCCATTCACTTTCCATTTGGGCACCATATGTATAATGAACTACAACAATATGGTGTTGGAGCCAGTGAAATAAAAATAAAAGAAAAAAAAATGATAACGAATGATGATGATGGTTTTAAAAAAATAGAGAATAAGATCTACAAGAACTGCCATGACAAGGAATTCCATGAATGAATGAATGAATGAAAGAAAATCTTTCTTCATTTTTGTCATCATTCAATTTTTTTTTTATAATCAAATTCAGACCAACCATTTTGTTCTTTATTCTCCATTCATAATAATGTTGAAAATGGTAGAAAGAGTGTAGTGTATTCAGGGCACAATTTGTTGAAAAAAAAATTAGAAAGACCTTAGACTGCTGAATTCTAAATAATAAGCGGTACAATTTTTATTATTTTTTCAGCATCTT